TCTGTTGTATGTAAAGAACACATTCTGTTTGCCCATTCATCCACCACAGGATATTGTCTGTCGGGGTCCGGTGCCAGCCCAGACCCTAAATTATTTCTCCGGACAAGAGGAGAGGCATGGGATTAAAGACACAACTTACATGACTTTATGGGGGGCGTAGATTTTCAGTGATCCCTCATGAAATCCTGAGTTCACATCCTGAAAATTCCTCCGCATTTACTCTCCAAACAGCCTTATATACCAAAACATAAACTGAGGGGGAAATTCATTAGCATTCTGTTTCCTAGGTAACCAGGTAAATGGCTATGGACATGTCCACGTCTTCAACCATACTTTCCTATGCCGTCTTTGTCAGGTCTTCCTATCTTCCTGCTCTGTATGCCAGCTCTGTCATGTAGGCCGAATTAACATCTCTTTTCAGGCGTCCTCCAAATTACAAAGAAGGAACAGAACAACATCCTGAGCCTTTGTTAGGGATGGCGACAGGCTAGGTGACCACCACCTGTGCGCAGGTGCAAACTGTGGCCTGGGATTCTGGCGGCCATGCCATGTAGAGATGTGGGGCTACAATTGTCTTGGTTTGCTCTTTACTGCTATGATAGCCACCATGACCGGAAGTCTCTTGGGGAGGAAACGATTTGCTGGACTTACATGTCCTATCACTGACCGTCACGGAGAGAAGCCAAGGCAGGAACTCAAATAGGCCAAGAACCTGGAGACAGGAAGAGAAGCAGAGGTCATAGACAAGTGCTGCTTGCTGGCTTGCTCAACCTGCTTTCTTATATGACCCAGGACCACCTGTTCAGGGTTTTACTTTTTGGAGGGATAAATACTCAGAAGTGAAACTGCTGGAGCATACAGTAGTTTGGTAGGTCTATGTTGCTTTCTTGAGACATCTCAATGATGTTTTCCATAGCAGCGAATACCCTGTCGTGCATCCTGGCCATCACATACAGGGGTTCCAAGCACTCCACACCTACATAGCCACTGGCCCCAGCATGACACACATATGATAGCCCCTCCTGAAGCAAATCAGGTGCCATTGAGAGCATCTTCTTCACAGACCTGATGACTTATATATTGTCTTTGGAGAAATCACTATTTGAATCTTTAGCTTCATTTCAAGTTCAGATTATTAGGAGATTTTCTTATTCTTTTAAAAATTTATTATTATTATTTTTTTTTTTTGCAACTGACTTACAGGACCTGCTTGTGTGTTATAGAAATAAAACTCTCATGTTGTGCTAAGTCAGTGGTTCTCAACCTGTGAGTCATGACCCCTTGGGGATCGCATACCAGATATTTACATTCTAATTCATAACAGTAGCTAAATTATAGTTTTGAAATAGCAATAAAAATAATTTTATGTTGGGAGTCTCCACAACATAGGGAACTGTATTAAAGGGTTGCAGCATTTGGAAGATTGAAAACTAATGCACTATATGAAGTGAGCCAGTCACAGAAGGAAAAGGACTGTAGAGTTCACTTATGATATAAGAGTGCAATGGTGGTGACCAGTGTGGAGGGTCCAGCATGCACTTCGATGATGGAAGGCGAGTAAGGTCTGAGAGCTGCTGCATCGCCCATGAATGTGGTCGGCACCACTAGCTTGAATACCTAGGAAGTTAAAATAAATAATGTTAAAATCTCTTGCCACCACAGCAAAAAGTTTAGAAGAAATAAACCTCAGGGCTGGGAGTGAGGATCCATAGTCAGGGTTCCCCTACCATGTGCAAGGTCCTGGGCTCAACCCTAACAACACAAAATAAAACTGTGTCAAGTTCATTGACTTTCGGCAGAGTACTACAGTCTGTGTCTTTGATCCCAATGCTTGAGAATCAGAGGTGGGTGGATCTCTGTGAGTTCAAGGTCAGAACTGGTCTATATATACTGAGTTCTAGGCCAGCTTGTGCTTGAAAATGAAACCATGTCTTAAAAAAATAAAAACTAGCCAGGCGGTAGTGGCACATGTCTTTAATCCCAGCACTCAGGAGGCAGAGGCAGGCGGATCTCTGTGAGTTCAAGGCCAGCCTGGTCTATGAAGCGATTCCAGGACAGCCAGAACTGTTACCCAGAGAAACCCTGTCTCAAAAAACAAAACAAAACAAAAATTAAAAAATAAATAAGAAGTAACCCCCCAAAAAGAAGGAAGCCTATTATGTGAAGCTATCTGAAGGTTGCTTTCCTATATATTCACACACAAGCAAACATGTTCTGTTGCCCACCAGAAAAGAACTATTTTACAAAAAGAAAGAATAGCTGCATTGGAAGAAAGATAGAATTCCCGTTATACAACCAAATGACCTTAGATATATAGGCCTATATCTAAATTTTTCTCATTTGACAGAATTATCCAATCTTTTCTTATGTCTTTCTTTAACCCTTAATGTTTAGGAAACCGGTGCCCACGTGGGAGGGGTAGATAATGGTTCTCATCCTGCCTCGGTATGAAATTAATTACACCTGTCACAAATACAAGGTATCTGATATTTTGGGCACAATATGCAGTATCAAGTAGATAAATATCTGTCTGTCCTTGCTAGAGGCCAGTCCTGATGAGTAGCTGTGCTGAGGGCTGGGTTAGGTGGGAGGAGACCCCCCCCCCCATGAGAGCCTCCAGAGCTCTGTAAAGAGCATCGTTATGAGGCAGAGAGGCCAGCAGCAGCAGGAGGAAGCAGCACTGGCTCTTGGGTTCAACATAAGCTGGTCAGCTGACCAGTTAACTGGAAAACTGGTCCCGGTAGAGAAGAATCAAAAAAAGTATACTTAGGTGCTTTAAACAGCTTAACTTAAACTTTATAAAACATGAAGATTGTGTTACAGTTTGTTAGCAAATGTTTCGATATTTATTTGTTTTGTTTTGTATTGTCCTGTTTTGTGATTGAGAGGCAAGTCTTTCTGGTCAGGGTATCTGCCCACTGGGACTCACTATTGGCTTCCTGTATGCTAGTATACTCTTAATGCAAGTATGAACCTAGTTCTCCCATCCCCCCCTTTCTTTTACCCTGTGGTGGTTTGAAGGAAAATGGCCCCCAAATGGGAGTGGCTCCACTAGGAGCTGTGACCTTGTTAGAGTGGGTGTGGTCTTGTTGGAGGAAGTGTGTCACTGTGGAGGTGGGCTTTGAGGGCTCATATATGCTCAAGCCACACCCCGTGAGGCAGACCACTTCCTGTTGCCTGCAAGATGTGGAACTCTCAGCTACTTCTCCAGCACCATGCCTGGAGAAGTATACCACCATGCCCCACCATGATGATAATGGACTGAACCTCAAGTGCAAGTGCTCCCCAATTAAATGTTTCCTTTTATGAGCGTTGCCATGGCCATGGTGTCTCTTCACAGAAATAGAAGCCCTCACTAAGAATATCCTTTCCTTGTTCTTTCCTCCCCTCCCCTTTCTCTCATTGAGCCTAAGGACTTGCATGGGCTAAGCCAGTGTTCTACCACCAAGTTACCACTGCAATCACTCCAGTCTCTTTCCTATGTATGTTTCTATATGTAGCAGGAAAGTAAAGCCTCTCATGACACAGTCTAGGGCCGGATGTGTGTGATTTATTTTCTCCATCTTTTACTGTTCTGCCATAGAACGTGGTAGCCATGTATTTTAGTTACCAGCCACATCAGTCTTTATGGAAACAACTTTACCTTCACCCTCATATTTCAATGCTCAATACAACATGAAATCGCATGTCTGAGGTAATGGGTGTCACTGGTACGTGAAGGTTGGAAAATTCAGTGAAGCATCCTCAGCTGGTGAAAACAAATGCATAAACCATGCTAGCCTAAGACTCAGGATGCCTGAGCACCAGGCGGTATATTCTCCAGAGTATATGGCTTTGGCTGGGATCAGGCCAGGGCAACATCTACACGGCAAATGTGTAGCAGTAGCTAATGGGATACAGAAAGCATAGTGTGACCTCCTGGGGAGCCCTCAGCATGAAGGAGCAAGCAGGGGGATATTGAGAGGCAATAGGGAACTGGGGCTCAGAGAAAGCACCAGAACCCCTGCTCGTCATGATCTCCTCTCCCAGGCTAACAATGACATCTTTTGTCCATCTTCTTCTGACACATTCCCTGGCACTTGAGAAGCATCTAATTGTCTTGAATGGATCAAAATGTGTGGTTGTATTTTTTTCTCTACAATTACCCCCAAAACAAAACAAATAAACAAACAACAACAACAACAAATGGCTTCCTCAAGCACACTGGCTTTCTCTCCTGGAAATTGTCAGGGAGCTGTGAGGAAGCAGAGCTTGTGTGCTCTACACCTCAGCTCACCCCAATGTGGGCATATGGATAAATTAAGGTCATTGCTCAGGTCAGACTCCCATCTAGAGGTACCCCACAGGCTTCCTCAGGTACAGTTTCCAAGGAAGTTGACAGTACTACAGTACCTGGTGGTACCCAGGGATTGTGAGCTGATGAGGCATGGGGGTCATTATGGGTCTTCTCGTGTTTCTTATGAATGGGGAAGTTTTTTTTGTTTTGTTTTGTTTTTTTGTAGTAAATAAGGAAAAACATGAAGAGAGATGAAAGATAGCAAAAATACAGTTGTTCTTGAGTTTGAAGCTTTGAAGCCACAATCTTCAAGAACTCAAATCTCTGGTGTTTTCCACTGGCTCTCAGCAAACTATGGCTCATTTCTAATGCATCCAAAGCTTTAGACCACTAACAGAATGATACTTAGTGTGGGATATTAGGCCAGCTCATCAGAAAATGAAACTTTAATAACTATCTTTATTAACTAAACTTTATTAGCTATTGTACTTGCTATTAATTGTCATGATTAAGAATTTATCCCTTCATTCATCATTAATTCCCTTTGCTTAGTTCCCATGCCTTCTGTAGACAGACCACCCCAGTTGTGTATAACCTGACTATGGTCTGCAGTGGAACAACGTTATCACCTCCATCACTCTCTGGGCTTTCTCTGATTAAACTTGACCTAGCAATGAGGCACGTGTGACACCGCGCCCCACTCTCCCTCTTTCTCTCTGAGCAGCCTGGGAATGAACCACGACGATGACCACTCGTCTTGTGCTGGCCGGTCGCACATCATGTCGGGAGAGTGGGTGAAAGGTCGAAACCCTAGCGATCTCTCTTGGTCGTCCTGTAGTCGAGATGACCTCGAGAACTTTCTCAAGTAAGTCCTTGAGTCATTCTGTAACATCAATAACTCGAAGTTTTGCCAAAAGACCAAAGATGGGCAACTTAGCCAGTGTGAGAAGTGACTCTTTAGATGAATCCTCATCCAGCTTGGGAGGTGGCCAGTGCAGAGTGCCCTAAAATGGGCAAAGGCCTCTGCTTGCGGTTGTAACTGGTATGCTGTTGCATGTCCAGTAAGGGGGGGGGGTCATTAAATGAATGAAATGTCAACCCAGTGACTCTGACTTGCACTTCTCTGATGGTCTTTGACCACAAGTGGACACCACTGTTGGGACAACTCGGCTGCTGTGAGAACCTGCTGCTTGCTGAAGCTGCTTCCCTTGATGGGAGTGAATTAGCTGGGTTGGGTTTGCACACTTTCCTCCTTCATGGGGGAAGGGATATGCTTCTCACTAGTCTGTTCTCCCTACAGAATGTCTATACTTTTCAGTTCTCAGATTTTAGTGGAACAATTTCTAATTTGGTTTTAGACCCTTGTAAAAGCAAGCATGATTGTGATCCAGACCTGTTGGCCCCTTGGTGTCTGATCTTAGGGCTGTATTTACAGTGTTGATGCATGGGTCCTCATCGCTCCCCTACTTTGTTGTGGTAAATCCACCTGAAGTGGGAATAGAAGTCAGTCAGTGGGTCTCCCTGTTAACAGGATCCAGGGAATGTGGGTTGAAGTGGTTAAAGGTCTTCATGTTCCCTAGGGATGGGAAAAGTGTTTAGGAAATAGGTTTATAAATGAACTTACTAGTTTTAAGATAGTCTTCTTCCACTAAGTGTTGTAATCACAGACTCCTAATGCAATGTTGTAAGCTACTGATGTCACTCCATGTCACCCAAAAGGGCCAGGGTGACAGGACGGGATGCTACATTTGCTCGGATGCATAGTGCTGGTCCCATTAGTGGCAGATGCCTTGTGATTGAGCCTGGGAGCTGTGGACTAGCCTCAGCTCTGTGTGTGTGTGTGTGTGTGTGTGTGTGTGTATGTGTGTATGTGTGTGTGCACATATGTATATATGTGTGTATATGTGTATGTGTGTATATGTGTGTATGTGTGTATATGTATGTGTGTATATGTATGTATGTGTATGTGTGCATATGTGTTTATATGTGTGCATGTGTGTGCATATGTGTGTATGTGTGTGCATGTGTGTATATATGTGTGTATGTGTATATATGTATGTGTGTATATGTATGAGTGTATATGTATGTGTGCATGTATATGTGTGTGCATATGTGTGTATATGTGTGTGTATTGTGTATATGTATGTGTGTATGTGTTTATATGTATGTGTGTATGTATATGTGTGTGCATATGTGTGTATGTGTGTATATATGTATGTATGTATATGTATGTGTGAATGTATATGTGTGTGCATATGTGTATGTATGTGTTTATGTGTGTATGTGTGTGTGCATATGTGTGTGTATGTGTGTGTATGTGTCTATGTGTCTATATATGTGTGTAAGTATGTGTGTATGTGTGTATATGTGTGTATGTGTGTATATGTGTGTGTATATGTGTGTGCATATGTGTGTATGTGCGTATATGTATGTATGTGTATGTGTGTATATGCATGTGTATGTGTATATATGTGTGTATATGTGTGTGCATGTGTGTATATGCGTATGTGTGCATATGTATGCATGTATATGTGTGTATGTGTGTATATGTATGTGTGTATATGTATGTATATGTGTGTATGTATGTGTATATATTTATATACATATATACATACCCGTTTATATATGTATACATACATACATACATACATACATACATACATACATTGAATCCTTTTTTCAAGAGTTTTGGCAAGTATCTGGTTTCATTTACCTTGCCTTAAGGATAGGAAGTAAAGCATTGAGCATTTTATCTCCTAACAGAGCCCTCTGGGGAACATGTATCTCCCACTGTAAATGGACATTCCCTTCCTAATTGAAACCTGGAACTTCTTGACTGAGTGATCCTGGGCTTCTGTTCTGTGATAGCAGAAGATATGGTCAGGCGCGACATCAAGACTGACATACTTATTTTGGCCCAGCAATCCGTCAAAGATACTCCATGGTGTCAGAAATCAGAACTTTAATTTTATTTAAAATAAAATAGCCTAACTTGCATTCTTTTTTGTTCATGGTAACTTTTGCTCAAGGTCATATTCTAAGAGGATTCAGAGAATTCTAATTTAAAAATATTTTCATCAACCCCACTAAGAAAGCCCACTTGCTTCATCAGAGCTGTTCCTAGGGCCCTAGTGAGTGCCCAGTTCTGCATTGCCTTCAGAGCAGAGACCTACATTCAACCATATAATAGCAGAACAGACACACCAAAAAGGTGGCACAGGTGTCCAATGCCGAGGCTCTCGTCCCGTCAATCATCCGAAGCACATCCTTCTCGGGAGACTGAAAGGATCAGAACCACGGTGGGCTCCTACGGTTAGAAACTGACCTGCATCTTGGCTTTTTCAGATCCAAAGTCAGTACCTGCTTACTGATCACTGACCCCAGGAGTCAGCATGCACTGCGCCTTCCACACAAGCTGCCCGGCATGCACTACAGCGCCAATGAGCAGTGCCAGATTCTGTTTGGCACCAATGCTACCTTCTGCAGGAACATGGAGGTAAGCAGGCAGGGAAGGGCAGCCTTAGGAATCACACAAGCCCAGCAGCCCCTCTGCAGGTCTGGATTCTGCTGGAGGTCATGGCTATCTCAGATACCGATATGCATGTGACCGTGTATATGTATAGGCGTGAGGGTGTGTGCATGGGCACACAGGTGTGCCCCGTATAACGTATAACTGTCTGTGATGGTATCAACACGTGCTTTTGCGAGCATCTGTCCAACCACAGCCCTGCATGTGGGTCACTCTGAAGGGGCTACTTTGGGGGTACTGACAGTAGTAGTGTGGTGTTTTAACTTGAAATCTTTGTGACGAAGGAAATCTAGTCACATTTCTTATAAATGCTGTGATGTCACCGTGTCACTTGATTTTTAAACCCCACCCATTTAAGGAAGAGAGCTAAAAACTGGTTCACATTGGAGTGTATCAGATGCAGAGAATTTAATAAGTGACATGTTAATTTTAAAATAATAATAATCCACAGTCAGCTCTTATTGACCAGTGCCCATATGATTGACCCTAAAGCCCTAGCCTGCATGAGCCCCATTAGTCCTTGCCAGAACTCTCTAGAATCTACTTCCAGCTTTCAGACAATACTACTAAATCAAGCTCAGGTATCATGCCAAATGGTTTGACTAGTGTATAGGTAACAGTGCAAAAGCTTGGAGACAAATCTGGATACCCCCACAATATAGATTGGCTCACTGTCCTGCAAACAGTGATGCCTGTGGCTTGGCCAGTTCTATGTATGGAAAGTGCCCAGAGGAATGTTCTAGGACCTGTGTATGGCTACTGTGTGACACCAGAAACATACTAGGGAAATCAGGGGCCCAGGTGGTGCTTGGCATGTAGTCCCCAGGAAGATATGCAGTAGACTGGCCAGCCTCCAGATGCAGGAATCCAACAGCTGTATACCTCCAGAATGAGGTCTATCTGCTACCTCCAGAATAAAGTCCCCAGGGATGAAGGTGGGGGCAGACTCTCAGAAACACCAGAGATCCTATGATAGCCAAAGATGTCATGGTACCCAGAGATGCTATGGTATCTTTTGAGTGCTTCAAGTTTAGATGTGAATTGGTTCAGGCCACTGAGCCAGCATCTCTCAGCTGGGTGCTGCCTGTCATTTTAGGGGCACAGAAGGCATTGCCTCTGAGCCAGGCGGGTGCTAGCTATCAGCTGACTCTTCCAAGAGCAACAACCCACAATGTGGTCCTGAATCCTCTCTCCTCAGTCCCAGGACTCCATTGTCCCCAGCTCCTGTCATGGTACCTGATGCTCACCGTCACCCACTGCACTGATTCATGCTTAAGGTTGTTGTTACTGTAGCCACGTCCTATGCCCAGTCTCCAGTCCCTAGAGTGAACTGAAGAGTCAGGGGAGAGCAGGTTTCAAGGGACCCTTGATACAGACAGTGTGACATCAGTATGAAAACCATACAGGTAGGTCCTGGGGAGGACGCTGGGAACTCAGAAGGAACAGAAATGCTCCAGGACCCTGGAGTGGAGAAGGAGAAAATGCCCAGCAAAGACCTGAGCACAGTGGTCGCTTTGTCTCCTGAGGGGTTTGACCCAGGGCTAGTGAGGCAAAGTGAGTCAGGCAAAGCTGCCAGTCAGCATAGGACTAGGTGAGTTGGGGACTAGACAGAAGCGATCTCTTCATTGTCTGCCACTCCTGTCTAGGGGTGAGGTAATTGTACACCTTCCTCGCAGGGTGTCTTAGTGAGGGTTTCTATTGCTGTGAAGAGACACCGTGACCTCAGCAACTCTTAGAAAGGAAAACATTTAATTGGGGTGGCTTTAGTCAGTTTCAGAGGTTTAGTCCATTATCATCATGGTGGGAAGCAAGGCAGTGTGCAGGCAGACACGGTACTGGAGAAGGAGCAGAGAATTCTACATCTTGATCCATAGGCAATAGGAAGTGAACTGAGTCCCATACTGGACATAGCTTGAGCTTCAAAGACCTCAAAGCCCACTGTGACACACTTCTTCAGCAAGGCCACACCTTCTAATAGGGCTACTCCCTATGGGGCAAGCATTCAAACACATGAGTCTCTGGGGGCCATACCCATTCAAACCACCATGCAGGATAAGCTGACAGATAGAGGGGCGTGGTTTTCCAGGTGGGACACTTTCCTGGGACTGTCCCATGCAACCCTAGCAATACTCTAGGCAGATGGTTTTGAGCTCCACTTTAGCAGGCGAGGAAACAGTGAGGAGAAGATATATGGTCTGAGCAGTAAGGGAAGCATAGATGCCCCTGCTGGGGGAGCCCAGAAAGCTGGTACAGGATAAAGGCCACCTCGGATTTTCTTAGTCCATTAGCGTCTCTCTTTCGGAGGCCAGTTAGAAGGAAATATTAGCCCTACATTGCAGCTACATTCTCTTAGGTCAGTGCTTCTCAACCTTTCTCATGCTGTGACCCTTTTACACAGTTCCTCATGCTGTGGCGACCCCCAACCATCACATTATTTTGCTGCTCCTTCATAGCTGAAATTTTGCTATTGTTATGAATCATGATGTAAGTATCTGATACGTAGGATATCTGTTTTGTGACCCCCCCCCAAAAAAGGGACTGTGACCCACAGGACGAGAACTACTGCCCTAGAGGCTCGGAATCCCGAGGCACAACCCCGCAGATGGCCCAATTGTCAATTCTGCTGAGGCGCCGCATGGATTCCTCCAGCTAGCCAGCAGCTTCAGCTCGTGTTTGTCCAAAGCGCTTTTCTTCACAGAGTCATTATTAATCAAATCAGATCAAATCGGCATCTTCTAGCCCCGGTTGCTAGACCAAGCGCCTGTATGTGCGTGGGGGAAGGGTAGCCTAGTGGCAGACTCTTTGGTGGGTGTTAGCATTTATTATCATCTCTCTGGTAAAAATCTTAGTGATTTTTCTCAGGGATTCCAGAAGGGAGCTGACAGTGACTGTTATACCAGGCAGCCTGTCCCGGTAACACTCTTAGACCTCTGGGGAGTGCATGGCAGAAGGCCCACGCCTCTCTGGGATGCCTGGAATGTTGAACTTGGGGTATGGTGCCCTGGGCCTGACTACATCCCCCTCATCAGACACACACCAGAATGGCCTCATGATTCTGGGCTCTAGCTCACCGTGTCCTTAGTCTGCTACCCCCTGCTTCAGAGGTCTGTGCTCTGACAACATCCTGTCGTGGAGAAGTTTGCATCCTTGTCTGTCTCCTTCCCGGAGCATAAACCAAGTGCTGCTGGGTACTCTCTCACTGCTGTCTGTCCCCAGCCCGTTCTCTAGGCCCAGTTCACTTCCTCTGTCCTGGCTTGGCCTTCCTGCTCTCTCTGGAGCCCACAGAAGGCTCATGGCAAAGGAGTCCAGCTACTTGGGGCTCCTCCCTCCACCGGGCAGCCCCTCTCTTGATTATCTAAATGACGCATTCTTTCATTTTTGAATTTTCACATGTTACCTTCTCAGTAAGGCCTGCCCCAGTCACCCTGTTGGAGATTATAGTCTTGACGCCTTTTCAAACCCCTCCCTCTTCTATAATGCCTAATGTGCCATCAATCTTGCCCAGTCTCCTTCATCTGTGACTCTGCAGCATTTCATTCCAGAAGTCCCAGGTAGATCCCATTCCCATAAGCCACGTGTGCACTTCTTAATATGGCCTATTATCATAATTTTTCTTCTCGTGTCATTGGCATGGGAAATTACACTGCCTGTCTTTTCTAGGTCAGTTTTTATTGACCCTTCCTCAATAGGAATGCATGTTCCTGCTTTGCATCTGAGCCATATTGCTTCTTTTAAGATTATTACACTCATAGAAAACCACATCAGGATGGATTTTAGTTATGTATTGTAAATGGCACTCCATCTCTTTCAGGAAGGTAAGGCCTTGTACGTGTTTTCAGAGTCCACAACATGTTCCATAGAGATAGGAGCCTTTCTACAACCCGTAACTCTCCCTCACCTCCCTGTGGAGAGCACCAACTGTCTAGTCCTCACACCAGCAAGCTCATCGATTACTGTCATTACATCTCAAATTGTCTCCACCCTCCCCAATTTCAGAAAGGACCATGCTGTGGGCCGGAGAGATGGTCTCAGCAAGGAAAGCACCTGCTGTCCAAGCCTGACAACCTGAGTCCAGATCTCCAGAACCCACATAAAGGTCGAACACGGCAGCACAACTGTCGTCCCAGTACACTCTCGTGGAGACATTGGAGGTGCATGTAGGAAAATCCACGGGAGCTCATGGGTCAGCTAGCCTGGTGTACACACACACACACAAACACACACACATACACACAGAGAGAGAGAGAGAGTGAGTGAGAGAGAGAGAGAGAGAGAGAGAGAGAGAGAGAGATTGATTTTTGGTCCCCTCTAATAGGAAAAAAAATCCACTTATTTGGTGTCCTAAAACAAAAGAAAATGCTCACAGATAGGCTCTTTAGGAGAGAGAGTATCATGCAGGAATTACAACTTCAGAAATCTGGAGGAACCTCTCTCTTACGAGCTGCATTCCTGTGTGTGGATTAAGAATGCTGTCTGGATTCCCAGGCCCTGAGCTCCCTGGAAGACAAGGACTGAGGGGAAGTTCACAGCCAGCCACAGGACTAGGTCCCGGTACAGAACTAATCATGGAAAACTTGGAAACGCACCCGAACATTAGTGAGACAACTGTGTGTCTGTCTGTCTCTCTGTCTTTTGTCTCAAACATTTCTAGAGCTTTAAGCCTACCACTAAAAATAATGAACTAGAAGTGGGGTTGGACATGGCCCAGGAAATAAAACCAAGACACTGGGCCTGCAGGGTTGAGTGCTGTCTGTTTTTGGAATACATAGTTTAAAACAAAGAATGAAGCAATCTAGGTAGATGGCATTTTAAGGCAAACACGGGGCATCTCCACCACCTGTGAGCCCTCTTCAGTCCTCTGTTCTGCCTTCTGAGGAACACGTTTCCCTGCTGAGGGCTGGCACAGTTGCCCAGTGGGTAAAGGCACTGGCCACCGGGACGACATGAATTTAATCCCAAGGACCCAC